ATAGCTAGAAAAAGAAAAACACATGAATAAGAACACACACAAACACAAAATAAAAAGATGAAACACTCACTCTACAATGGGACATAAAACCTGTATATTAATTGTACTAAACGACTTCACAAGCTATGATTTAATCTTAAAAGCTGTTGAATAGATATGTTAATAAAACAATCAATCAATCAATCATTCAAGCAAGCAAGCAAGCATTCAGTCAGTCATTCAGATCGATCAATCGACAAATCACTCATTTAATCAATCAATCATGAATAATTAAAAAAAAGTTTTGAACTGCTTCTTAAAACGAAATATTAGATGATATAATAGAGGATAGCATCAATATTTCTTACCTCTATTATCTAAGATTCTAGGTTCTAATCCAGGAACGTCTGATATTGATATCCATACACAAAACACATCTGATTCTTCTAGTGTTATAGTAAGCATCTGAAACGAATCATACACAAAACACATCTGATTCTTCTAGTGTTATAGTGAGCATCTGAAACGAATCGTATCATCAGCGGCTATGGACAAACAGTTTGAGCTGAGACGTATGCAGTCCACCAGTCAAACACCATAAACATTTCATCTCGACAACTTTCGAGAGGAAAGAGTAGCGTGTCTGAAGGATCTGGACATCTCGATCTGGACATTGGTTTATAACCAGGATCTCATCATTTCATTTTTTTGTGCCTTTCAATAACTACTTTTTCTTATCATTGTTATTATAACTCATAATTATCATAATCATAATTATCCATATCTTACYCCTGTCTTGATGTCGACGCTAAACCAGTTAGGTACGTATACTCGCATCTCTCTCCTCTTYAATTCCTCGTCATAGTTAACTTGACCGAGCTCTTTCACTTTTTGGGCCTGTATTAATTAAATTAACATTAACACAAATAAAATTAACATTACCGTGAGTTAAAATTAACATAAATTAAMATTAGGCGTAATGCTTAGACTTCCACAAACCAGTCTGACACACTATACCAGAGCAGACTTAATTAGACGGCACAACTTTTGCCTATAACCATCGCATGCAACCTGCGTGAGTCATCCTTACAACATGGCTACAACTGTCGTAGGGATCTTTAAATCCCTAAAAAAAATGTTTTTAAAAACAATTGCTTAATAGCCCACGACAGTTTTAGACATGCCGTAATGATGACTTACGCAGGTCACATGCGATGGTCGTAGGCAAAAGTTGTGTCGTCTAATAGAGCGAATTTCGTATGAGTGGGAAACGGACGGTACTGTACCGTGACCGTAATCGTACTGTAACCAAATTCTAGTGCCCCATTGGTTCACCAAAATTGTGCAGGCCAGGTGCGGTAACTGTGCGGTAACCATGCGGTAACGGTTTCCCACTCATACGAAATCCGCTCTATATGGCTGCATAACGGCGCAACACACGATATGGTTGTGTAACCTTGTCTGGAAATGGACGCGATAGAAAACACCGAATTGAGAAACGTTCACGACTTCAGGACAGCACAGWCATGGCATGAAAATATTGTAGTTTTTTCATACTTATCCAATATTTTCACGATRCCAACGAAAACAACCTCAGCTGGTACTTCCTTCAATTCCATGGTTTATCTCGGCAGAAAACTGATGACGTAATGATAAGAGAGGACCATTCATTGCATACCTTTAAAACATCCCATAATATAACGTTATCATTGGTGTCTTTTGTAAGGATATGTCTACGATCTCTAAGAATGTTGAACTTGTTGATACTTGGGGCTCCTGGAAAAGAGAATACGATTGATATGAAGAAGACTGACTTGTATTTGACAGGACCTGCATGAACCATGGTTCAATGGAAGTGGATACATAAAAAGAGATTTAATAACACGACATCAACATCTGTTGTACCTTTTATAACCATTCTTTTGGATGTACAGATCGGTACAGGTTCACTTTCATTATTATCCATGGCTGATTCATTCTCCAGCTTGGCAAAATCAACAGGCTAAAGATATTACAWTGAAAATCTTAGCAATAAAGTCTCAACACTTTCCTTCACAAGGAAAACATGTTCGGAAAACTCTCAGTAGCCTTAAACACATTCTCAAGAACATAGAGATCAATCTCTCAATGACAAAATAATCACTTTTTCTTGAAGTGAGGTACGATTGACAAAAGATTGACTCAAGAAGATGCTCTAAATTCACTTTCTTAATAAACGACTAGTCTCCTGTCGCAGCTGTTAAGACGTTTGTTCTCAGGTCTCTCCAGCTAGGGGAGAGTGACCTGGAAATGAGTCTTATCACAGCTGAGAGAGGACACTAATAAATAGCGTGACATATAATGTTGTACTTTGGCGAAGGATTTCATAGAATATGTACATWTAACAGTGGGTACATTTCTTCCTATAAACAGTTAATTTCATTCAGATAGTCTGATAACACTTCACTAACTCACCCAGCAGTTTATATTAGAACTGGTTGTACCAATCCACAAAGAAGATGGATCATGACCATATTCAAGCTAAAAAACAACAAAAATTGAGGAGGAATGCCTTCACCATGCACCCTTGACATCTCACCCAAAACATCTCTAATACTTATAACACTGTMGTCTAAGTTTAAAGATCTCTAAAACCTTGTAGCTACTGCTCATCATTAGAGGGTTTGCGAAACCATGATTTCAAGTCTTATGAGTGAGGTCATTATTTTTGTATCTGGTGTAGAGATCTCCCAGGTAGAGCTGCTCTCCTTTTTTGCCCTGAAAGTTTAAATAAAGCAAGCGATATTATTGTAATCATTAACTCACTGATAACACTGGGGCCTCCTCAACAAACAAGAGAACAGAGCCATCATCCCTGGTAATGTCCGTCCAATAAACATGYTTATCACGACCACTGGAAAAGAACTCAGAAAAACTATCATTGGCAGCTAGAGCCCAGACTCCCTCTTCATGGATACGATAGGTTGCCAGGCAACGCTGCTGACCAAGAGACCACAGGCGAATAGATCCATCTGAGCTCCCTGATAAACACTATAAGGAAAACAATTAATAATTGGTTAATAGAATAATATGTTATCAAAAACAAAATCATTCACTGTTTGAWCATTTTGCAGCTAATTGAAAAAAAAGTATTTGGGTTCCATCATCAAAAATACTTAGAATGAAAGTGAGCATGGCATACATCGTATTTAGTGTCAAAATATTGAATAAAATAACCTTCTCTTCAAGTAATRCACTATGATTCAATAATTTTAGACAAATATGATTTGAAAAACTTAAAAACAAAATTGAGTACTTCCTTTTGGTGTAAGCTTTGAATTCTCGACCTGACAAAATTTTTCAATTACAGTTGTAGGTTTATTTTGGCTTCTTTCTTAACAGTCTTATCATGTGACCTTGTCCTAAAAAGAGCCTATTAAACTCCATTCCTCTACCCAGTGCCCTTGCTATATATTACATATTAATAGAAGTAGACTGATCTATTAAGACATACATGGGTGCCGTCAGCATCAATACATATTGCCTTCACATTATCCATGTGTCCTTTYAACTTCATGACTTTACCACAGGTRCGCGGATCCCAGACTCTTAAAATCTACAAARTAATTWATGAATWTTATTKATAAACCTTAAAAAGTAGGAATGGTGGGAACTAGCGGTTAACTAGTGTGAGCTGTGTCRGTGTTTCTAAAGAAACAGTTGTGTAAAAAGATAAATTTAACAATTTTTAAATTTAAATTACAAAGCGAAGTGTTAAATTTATCTTAAAAAGTAGGCATTACTTTCATTGTTGATGCTTTCAATACCTTTTCTGTAGAACCAGAAATAAGGACAGTACCACTACGGTTCATGGCTAAACTATATATTGAATCTTTTTGACCACTTAGAGATGACGCTGAGAAATAAGGAGAAAATGATGTTATTATTACTGTAAGTTAAAAGAGAGAAAACAAAATCAAAATGTTTAAAAACAACAACAAACAGACTGGAAACTCTAAAATCATGAATAACAATAATAATAATAACAACAGCAGCAATAATAATAATATTAATAATTAATAATAAATAAACAAAAATAAAAATAGTGCTTATTATGAAGTTCCCTTTTTAACTATTGTCTAATTCACACTGTATTGCTCTATCTTATTTTAAATATCAGTTTTATTGGTTGGTTCGTTTTCATACTTTGATGTTTACACTCTAACTAGTTGTATTCATGTTATTAGTGAAATAGTTATCTAAAAATGGCGAGGTAACAGTTGGGCAATGCATCGCTATTTTATGCACCTATCAATGTCTTGCCCCAATGGGGGGAGTGAAGCATACTGTACACAGGCTATTGAAAATAAAACAWTACTCGTCACTGGGGCAACTCATCTTTTATTGAAACAGGGTTTCCCCTGGGTAGTCCCCTGGGTAGGGTTTATTGACATTTTGACAGAGAGGACACAACTGTGTGTAAGAATTTTAATATGCACAATTATGATCAATTAATTTCCAAAAAATATCTATCACACCCTGTGTTTTTAATAAAACTGGAACAGAAGTTTAATGAAGTATAGTTGAGGTTTTGAAAAAAGTTTCAGATAGCAGCCTTTCACTCAGTTTATTAATCAGTTACGTGGGGGTATTTGACAAATATTGACATGAACATAAACCCCCAGAATGTGAGCTATTGACAAAAAATTATGAAAAATGTCAATAGCCTTGGGTATACCTGCACTCTCCCCATTGGGGCTAGACGTTGATAGGTGCATTATGTAATTTCTATTTAACTAGTATCTTACTTGTGACTGTATTATTTGTAGCAGTTAATGCCGTCAATGTATTAACATCCCATAAGAAGATTTGTTTATCAAGACCACCTGATGCTACAAGTTCTTTATCGGCAGCGTATGCTAATGCCTTCACATAATC